TTATTGAGTAGATACATAACAAATATTTAAAAAAAAAAGGCCAGAGAAAAATTATACTTAATCCTGATTGGAAACACCCGATGGAATTTATTTTATACGAAACCTTTTCTCTTTATTATTATGCCATAATTTATTAGTTTGATTATTGTTATAGTTAACAATGAAGAGTTGGTTAGAAGCCAGTGGCATGGACGAAGGGATGTGCATGCTGGCAGAGCCAAGGGAGGCGTTGCTGCCGATAACCGGAAGGGAAAATTTGGCGCCCAGGAAAAGGTAGGTTTCACTATTGAGTTCAATTGTTAAAGTTAACCAACTTTCAGAGTGGTCGGTCATTGGATGGGTGAGCAAAAATTTACTAGAAAATTCAACATGGACCAGGCCGCAGACGGGACTGGAAAAAAATAGATTGAAACATCTAGCAGTAAATATATAAATGCTTAAAGAATAAAAGCTTCAAATAAGCTTGTCGCTAAAACATGGTTAGTTAGCATGAGCCGAATTTCCCGTATACTTATTTCAAGAAAAATCCAAATCATTAATAATTATCCATAGGGAATGTATGTCTCCAGCAGTGGGGACATTAATAAGCTGATGAGCCACACCGTAGGAATCCTTTACGAGGTTTATTGTAGCAAAGTTAATATTTAAGCACTATTTACACCACAGAACAGAGAAAACGCCCATCATTTGCACCTAAGTGTCACCGCACACGGGCCACCGACTACAACCACAAAACGCCGCCACCGGCATATTTCTTGTAGTTTTCATACATTTTATATGGACTCGCCACACACGGTACGCCGGTGGCCGCCGTGGCCACACGCTACAAATCGTCGTTGCTCGCTTCTTGTGGCCCGCACCGGTCACTTAATGCGCCGATAAAAAACGCCGCCACACGTCACTCGCGCGATTCCCCACCCCTCTCTCCCTTACCTTAGTAGGCCGCTGTCGCGCGCTTCAGCCACTTTAGTAGCCCCGCTTCTAGCTTCTCGTGGCGGCGTTTGTGGCTGTGGCGTGTGGCCCGTGTGCGGCGACACTAAGTTCTGAAATCAGATTAAAAGCTAATTAATTTTTTAAACCTGATGTTATCTCTATTTGAATTTAAACAATTGACAAAGATGGAATGATGTGGTAAATTGGATTAAGCCTTATTTTAAATTAAAAATTATGGTGAATCTTAGAGTGACTTTTACGGTATTTAAATATAAAATTCTGTTATCAAGATCATGGTAATTAAATAACATTTGGTGAAAGTCGATCTTGTTTAATATCCGCTGCGTGGTAAGCACAAGCTCAAGCCGCTAGAAGCGGGAAGGTTAAGAAAAAAAACCAAGAAGTTAATGGTTAATTAGTAGGCTTGCAACGAATAGTATATTCGGCAGTATACCGAATACCGAATATTCGGTGAGGCCCCTGACCTAGGGCTGCCATCCGTCCGGGTTTCCCCGATTTTGTCCTAGTTTACGTTGCGTCCGGGGAGCGTCCGGGCGGAGTTTCATTTGTCGTCCGGGTTTAAAAATTTCCTGTTTTGGGTTGCCAATTAATCCGTCAATTTAAATGTCTTTGAAAATGAATAAATCTATTCTAACACTGTAACCATAAATGCAGACTTCCAACAAAGATCAGCTTTCCTTGGTGCTGCAAGTGTCCATGGGCAGCAGTGACCACTAATTATGAGGGTAGACCGCTAGCTTTTTTGCCTATATCAACAAAAAAAAGTTGGTTTGTGACATTTTTAACTGTTTTTTTATTGGTCTGTCCGGGTTCTGGGCTCCAAAATCCGGGGTTATCACGCCTCTGATCCTGATTGCCACATTTTAGAGATGGCAGCCCTACCCTGACCGAATAGCCGAATATTAGGGAAAAGTATTCGGCTGGATTTTAGCGCCGAAAACTTGTACAGACGTGATTGTTTCGCGCTCCTTTGTTTGCAGTGCAATTCAGTCAAATGCAGTTTCAACAGAAATTGATCTTTTCTTAAATATTAGTAATATATCACGTCATGACAACCCGTATACATGGTGGCAGCAAGGAAATTTGAATTTCCGTGTTTGATTAAGATTGCAGCAAAATATTTGTCGGCGCCAGGAAGTTTTATTCAGAGCGCCTTTTCTCTGAAGCTGGGATGGTCTACGAGAAAGAAAGAAGTAAACTACTTCCTAAAAATGCAGAAAAGTTAGTCTTTCTGCACCATAACCTTCCCCTTCTAAATTTTGATTTTGAAAATAAATCAAATGCATAGAAAAATTCTTAACTTGTTTTATGTACCAATGACTACTTAATAAATGATTATAAAAGTAATGAGAACCTTACCCTTTTAAATTTTGATTATCACAATAATTCGAATACATAGAATCCTCCATTTTTCCAATTCAGAAGATGACTATGTACCTGTGTTATGTACCAATGACTAATTAAATGATTATATATAACAGAAATGATGCAAATATATAAGAAATGAAATATATAAAAAAACTAAACATGCTACTACTGCGTTCTAATCTACATTGTTGCAACCCGATAGATAGCAAGTTATATCGTAAATATCTATAATTTTATGCGATAAAACATAATTACGAATGATAGATTAATGCAGGCATATTGAATCATGATTTTTGTATAATTAAAATGTCTCGCTGCTATCTCTCTAAAAGCCGTTAGATTAAAATCGTAATATAGGTTATTATCATGTATGAAACCAGTCCGCCTAATACATATATACGAGTATATACTTAAACTGGCTGACTGATTATTGGGACGTTTACCTTAGCCATTTTTTTTTTATTTGTGCGAATCCAGCGGTCCCGGGTTTGAATCTTGGAGCGAGAAACTCGTGAATGTGACGAACTCATGAATATTCCTTCATGCCATGGATGTACTTAAGTTTTTTTTTCAAGTTAAGAGCGGACGCGAGCTGAGATACATTTGAGAAATAGGAATTTGGAAAAACTATTGCTGTCACGCTTTGGCAAATACCGTGCGATAGAGACAACAGTAGTTAACGCTGAAAATTGCGTATAAAAATTGAAAAACTCGAGGTTTAGCTCTCGGCGATTTCCTTTGCTACGCACCCATTCCGCGACGCCCCCAGCCGGGACGCACCTTCAGTGAAAGACTGTATTGTGGCTGCACTGTAGGTGATTCCCGGCCGGGGGCGTCGCGGAATGGGTGCGTAACCCGATATTTTGACATTGTCACAAATGCCATGATCACGGAGTTCCTACTTCATTACACTGTCTATTTTGTGGTGATGCTCAGATACTCCATGATCATGGCGCTTGCAATGCAACAGTGCCGAAATCTCGGGGGCTCCCAAGAAACAAGACAGAATGACAGAAATCCCGCTTATAACTGTAGTATTCCAGTATGTTTGTCAACGAAATACTTATCATTGAGCTTTGTACGTCAACTAGGAACAATATCAGTAGCTCCTATGTTTCGTTTGGGGCTCGATGTGAGGGTGCCCAAAAAAGTCCCATCGTCTTTCTCTTTGCGCGTCGCACTTCCATTATATTGTTGGGAAAGAAATTAGTAAACTTTGTCACAACACAGATAGAATTACGAAAAGAGACCAGATCAGACAATTCAAATCAAATCAAAATAAGTTTATTCCACATAAGCATTTACATACTTATTGACGTCATGTGTACAGACAAAAATACACCATCAAATCAAGTTAAAATAAAAATAAAAAACATTATAAAAATAAAACATAATTGAGTGGCTTGACGGCGGTGGCGATGTTCCATCTGTGACAATATAAATTAATCAACATTCGCAAGCGTTTGGTTGGTTAAAAGATCGGTGAGCAACTGCAGTCATTATCACCCACCAATCCGGTCATTGCTTTAACCTGTCGTCCCAGCAGTGGGGACATTATTAAGCTGACGATGATGTTTATGACTTTTGTCCACAGGGATCGTACAATGGAATCATGCGCACTATCAGAAGAAGCATACCTATCCAGCGGCGCCGGTTCTCCTTGCGCTGGACTGTCTCGGGAAGAGCGAAGGCGCAGGCGACGCGCCACTTTGAAGTACCGCACTGCACACGCCACCAGGGAAAGGATCAGAGTGGAAGCCTTCAACGCGGCGTTCGCGTCACTGAGAAGACTCCTGCCAACGCTCCCCCCCGACAAGAAACTTTCCAAAATAGAAATCCTACGTCTGGCGATATGTTACATTGCTTATTTGAACCATGTTTTGGACGCATAAGGCGTAGGTAGCGACTTTGCTTCTTGGGTAAAAACATAAACATAACAATGAGGGCTACCGTTTTCTGCCTCACCAGATGGCGCCACTGTTGAGTGAGGTCCTAAATTGTAACTTTTAAAGTTTATTAATACGTACATGAAATCAAAGGTTACATTTAGATCGTATTTTAACACAAAAGAACCATATCCTAAACATAATAGGCCATGCCACAGTGACGCGCAGTTCCGTTTTATTCGGAAAAAATGGGAACATAATCATTTTTCTAAGTTCAAATTTTTAATAACTGACATTCATTGCCACATAACTCATATTTGCCATAATTAAGCTGAATTGTTACCAATTATTCACAACATTATTTTAATTAGAAATAAACCCGCGTAGTCAACCAACAAGCAATAACATTTGACATTTCGGAGACCTCATGCTACACTAGCGCCTCTAGCGGCGGATTCATACGCGATAGCCCTCATTGCGCAGTAGACTTTTAATATGTAAAATTGTTACTGCGCAGGCTTTATTACCTATGGTTAATACTCAAGATGTTTGCCGGAATGTATAACTCATCGAATAATTCCGAGTATTAAGTGAGAAATGTCCCTATTCACTACTCCGGTAGCAAATCAATGACGGCCGGTTACCACCAGGCGGGCCCTAAGTTCCACGTTTTCCTCGTATTTTAAGAAATCCATGGTGTCAATTCTCCATGGAAAATAGAATTGGTTTTTATGCCAACTTCTGCACACTTGCAAATATTAGGATTTTATATTTTTAAATTTTATTTGACCATCAATTGACGAATTTATTTGAAACAACTCGGTCTTCATCTGTATTTGAAAGAACTTGGTTTCTCTTTCTTGGTGCTGATTCAGGCGTAAAGAGCGCTCTTCGATATTCCCCGGGACGATAATGTGTGAAGAGACACTTAATACAAATTGTTAAACTAAAGCTAAGCCCGGTTTTAAAATGATGCTCTTACTTACGTTAGCTAAAAAGAAGACAGAGACAGCATTAAGGCGCAATTATACTTGGCCGTTAGCCTGTATTCGGGTACACGTAAGACATTACTGGATTTGGGGCTTCCGATGCAATCATTACATTATGTTTTTATTTATTTTTAAGCATTTAACTGCTAGATGTTTAAATCTAAAGAAAAGTTTACTAGAAAAAAATCCACGCGGACCAGGCAGCGGACGGGACTCGATCCCGCACCCTTCGCAATCCGGGCGAATGCACTGACCATTATGCTACCACGGCTCTATTAGCCGCGTCGAAATTTTTCCTAGCCTTAAGCTGTAAGGCAGCGCCATCTCTTCGCATTGTAGGTAACCCACAATGTCAAATGAATACTTTTTCAAGTATTAAACATTTGAAAGAAGAAATAGTAATTATAGTTATGTTTTTATTTGCCTTGCAGCTTAAGGCTAGGAAAAATTTCGACGCGGCCAATAGGGCCGTGGTGGAGATCATAATGGTCAGTGCATTCGCCCGGATTGCGAAGGGTGCGGGTTCGAGTCCCGTCCGCTGCCTGGTCCGCGTGGATTTTTTTCTAGTAAACTTTTCTTTAGATTTAATCATTACATTGTTTTACTCACGTTTAGTTAGAAAACGGGCAAACGACCCTGCACCCGCGTACTAGTTAGAACGTACCTCATTGGTGCCAGCTTGCGGGGAACCAAAACCAATACTTATCGTATCGGGCGGTTTCGACTCCGTTCGTTTACACTAAGTCAATCAATCAATTATTTATTTGCAAATACAGGTGATACAAAGGTGTTAAATTATAATACGTACGCTTATTCCATATTTCACCACAAGGCATGCAAATTAAAATAAACACATAGGTACATCCATTTACACAGATTTGTCCTCTACAAATTCCCGCCTGAGAGGTTAATACTATAGTTTTTTAATTTAGAGCGAAATTTATTGGGGCTTTCAGCTTTTCTAAATTCAATTGGAATTTTGTTATATACCTGAGGTGCCATACTAAGTACACTAAAATTCATAAGCCATGTGTAATTAGTCGTTTGTCCGAATTTCATTGTCAATCGTATACGAGCTAAGGGTCAAGTGTAATTGCACATTTAGATTTAATCCGAGTCTAGTTTTAGGAAGTCCAGGTTTTGAATGGACTTGGAATAAGGCGGTTAGGCTTAGTCGAATATGTTAACATACATTCACAAAATTACCATTGTTAATTTGTAGATGTGCATTATTCTAGTCAATCTCTAGTCTTTTTATTATTGAAGGTAGTCCACGTTTTGAATGGACTTGGAATAAGGCGTTTAGGCTTAGTCGAATATGTTAACATACATTCACAAAATTACCATTGTTAATTTGTAGATGTGCATTATTCTAGTCAATCTCTAGTCTTTTTTTTATTGAAGTGAAAACTTCTTTAGCACCGGCACCGTTGTGATTTAAAACTCGATGAAACGAAAATTTAACAGTACCTATATTTGACACAAGGTATCCGTTTTGAAACTCTCTGCAAGAGACAGATAGCTTCGATCCTGAGCTCGGTTAGTTTATTAATTATTTTTTTTCTTTTATTAAGCTATTATTTATTTTTCGAAACAATTTAAATATGGTATATTTATTTTTGCCCAGTATTTGACAGTACCTAGTCATGAAGTCATGAAATGTATCTTTTTATTTTCTTTTTATATCTGACATTTAGAAATCTTCTAATATTAATATGTTGACATTCATTGTATATTTTATTGACATAATATTAGGTAACTCTGACTTTCATAATTCTACAGAAAAATGTTATAATTAATTAATCTCTTTTTTATTGGTTCCATATTATGTATTTGCATGCTATTTTTAAAATGGCAAAACACGTGCTCAATCCACTTTATGTAAAACCTATATACCGTGTTTTTAGCAAATAATTTTTATTTTTTTATTTTATTAATAAAATAAAGATTATGATTATGATTATTATGAAGGACTTTTACATGTTCACATTTTTGTAGGTTTCACTTCTATCACATGTGTACAGCACATGTCCCCTTTTTATAATTTTATCGTTGAATTAGTATTAATATGTACAAAGTACAGTAGAATAGAACTGGCTGGCTGCTTTTTTAAAAAATCAATAGAAATACTTGCATAAGCGCTTCATTGAAACTTATCTGATTAAATATAATCTCTTATCTATTAGACAAGTCCGTCTGTCCGTCCGTCAGTGGTGCTGTTTCAGCGGCCAAACCGTAAGAGATAGATAAAGAGAATGTTTAAGTTATAAGTTAAGAATAGTCTGATAAGACTACAAACCGGATTTGAGTAACGTAGCACTTCCGGTTTTCGAGAAATCACGAATTTCAAACGAAACCACACAAAATCTCCAAAGATCTCAATTAATTAAATACATTTTTTTTTAATTGCTGAACATTTGGTTCACTGGTTTGCTAGTCTTATATAATTGGGCAGTTAATTTTCATGGTAATTTTAATGATAATCACTATCCGAAGCAGACAACGCCAAAACATATAAGAAGTTACGTGTCAAATATTATTGTGTATTGTTTTGTAGTTACTAAAAAGATTTACTGTCTTCCTTCAATCTCCTTCTTTTAATATTCTTGTAAATAAACTGTTAAATCTGTGATTATTGTTTATTTTTTTAAATACTTACTTAATTGACATGATAAATAATCAAGAGATAAATTAAACCACAAATTAACTTAACAATTTATTTCGTTTATTCATAAATAAATCACTTAAAAGCTAAGATTTATAAATAAAAAATCCTTTATCTTATCTTTATGGATTAGAATGTAGTAGGTTTTTAGGATTATAACAAGTTTCAGTAACAAAAAAAGAACACAATAACAATATCGATATAATAAGATCTGTCGCATTTATAATAGTTTAGTACATACAATTTCATATTTATTTAATAAATAAATTATTTAAATAGCATAATAAAACTGGGAAGAAAATCATTCCATGTAAAAAGCTCAATATCACTAAACTGAAGAACATTCTGAAAAAGAAAACCTCTATTATCTCCGTATAAGAAAAGGCTAACACGATAACGGGAATATTGGTGAGAGTTATCCCAGTGATAATAGTGGAGCCTATTTTGGTTAAAGCATCCTTAACTCTTTCATTCGTGGGCTCTTTACTAGTAGCATAAGCGTAAGCTAAATGGCTGCAGAATTCTACAGCAATACCTATTGACACGATCAAATTAACACAAGACACTGCATTGAGGGGTATGCTCCAAAGGTACATGACGCCCATCATGTTTAAAACAACCAGAAGAACTGTAAACATCACTGCGAATGATGTCAAAAAATTAAACCCAGATGCCAATAAATTAAATATCAAAGCGCCAATCAAACAGTAGCCTATCGATGAAAAAGTATCCCACCACATACTCAAATATTGTTCATAGAATACGTAAAACACAGAGTAGGGAAACACTTCTACATCTGTTCCAGTAATCTGTTTAATAGAGGCTGTGATATTATCAGCAATCTCGTATCCATACTTGAGTGCAGTGATATAATCTTTAGATGTACTTAACGACACATGATATGCCATGAAATTGGTATCCTGAACTATCGCATTCCCTTCAGCATCGAGAATATAGTTAACACTATTGAAGTAACTAGCTAGTCCACCCCTATTGCACATTTCAGTAGGAGGATCTCTAAGGAAAAACGGTATATACTTATCGAAGGCCTCAGGAGCAGGTCGCATCCCGCCTGCCCATTCATCTCTATCAATGCTGCAGAACGCACAATCACTTTCTGTGCTACTACTTAAACAAAAGCTGCCATCTGTAGTATTATATTTGCAACATGAACCAGGTAAATTAGTCCAGTCAATAAAGTCGTCAATCCACGAATTTGAACTCCGCGCCATATAGGTAACATCCCGATGTTGAGCAGCCAAAAAGATTTGTACGGCAAGAGAAGTTTCGTTGCACATTCTACCACCACAAATAACGTTTTGGTGTTCAATGTTAGTAAAGTTCAAACCAGATTTTAAAACAAAGTAAACTGGTGGACCAATGCGCATAAGGTTGTTGACCGCCTGCAAGTACCTGTACACGTAAGAATCTTTGGGCAATGCCATCTCTTGGTCCAAACCTATTTCTAACATAGGGATCAACATCACACTTGCGGAGGTCATGGCTATAAATATAATAATAACAATGATTTTTGTACGCCAATTTAAAAGAATTCTCGAATAAGGCTCCATAAATCGTGTAGCGATGCCTTTACGTGGTATTTCAGAGTGAAGTGGGTCGTTATCATCCAAAATCTTTTTCTGAACGCAACATAACACATCCAATCGTCTTTGAGAAACTCTCATATAATCGAGTGAGATAATGGCGGTCACAGTTGTTATTTGAAATATGAACAAAAAACCTAGGGATATACTTGCGAATATGGAAAATGTTACAACAGCTGGAAAATTAGCTAGACTACCAATAGCAAAGCATGTTATCTGAGTTATGGATGATACGAACATGGATGGACCGACTCTGCCCATCATCTTTGAAAAAACGAATCGTCTCTTCTTTTCAAAACTAAAATTTTCATTATAATCATCGAATTGTTTTAAGTTACTATCAATGTCATAAAGTGTGTTAACCATAAGGAATACATTGTCGATACCTACAGCCAGTACGAAAAATGGTATCACGTTTATAGCTAATAAAGTAAGTGTGATTTGAGTATACCCCATTACACCAATGGAACAAAATATTGAAGCTACTACAACTAAAATGCTGGATACTGCCACCATTATCTTACTATCGACAAGCCAAGTTCGACATGACCTTATATTACCCAACGCAACAGTAACATATACGAACATTAAAACATAACTGATTGCAATAGGGATTGCTTCAGCTCTAGACACGCGTATAATTTCATCCTCTATCGACCTATCGGCTGCAAAAGAAACTTCAATAAAATCTGACTTATTGTTAGCTTCATAATCATGTAACAATTCTAAAAAGCGAGCTTCCCAATCCATAACTGGTTCTAGATCGGAAGGTGAAAGAAAATTACTTATTGGAAAATTAATTAATAATGTATCAGCTTCTAATATATTGTCGCCTTCGTATCCTCCAAACGTGATCTCTGGTTCAGATCCTCCGCCCCATGATGCCATGCAATTAAGGGCTAGATGGTTATTAAGGCAATTTTGAATTGTAGTCAGGTAAGTATCATTATTAATGTCATGTCTACTTGGGAAAAAAATTGATACAGACATGTGGACGCATTGTTCTAACTTTTTTTCTTCACCAGGGAGTCGCAGAGGAGCAAAACAAATTTCTTCTAAAGTGACACCATTGTCGGCGCGTCCAATTTCAAAAATAGCATCTTCTAATTTAATTAATTCCTGAATTGCTTCTAGCCTAAAAGCGGGGCCGTAAGTTATATTATTTCTTTCAAAAGAATTTAATTTTACTCTTAAAAAGACTTGAGAAGCTCTATAAAATGGTCCAAACCTTGTGTTAAAGTAGTCTAGTTCCTGACGGCTACGTGATTCTGGAGCAGACCAAAGTTCGATAGGATTAGAAGTAATATTGAGTCTTACAAAACCAAAGAACATAGCAAATACAACCCAGGAAGTTAAGGTTATCATAATAATAGGATGAGCAGCAGAAATTTCACCAATTTTAGAAAATATCGTTTGAAACATTGTCACTACAAAATTTTTGTCAGAAGTTTTTTTTGCGTTATGTTGTTCTTTTCTAGCTTTTCTATACTCTACTAAAGTTAATATGATGAAGAATGTAACTACGATCACAAAAAACACTAAGCCTACGGCAAAAGCGATACAGTTTATATTACCGAATACGTTGCATGGTTCTAATACAGTTGGTTCATTTCCTACGGGACATAGCGCTAAACAATCCATACAGCTGCACGGAAAATCTCCTTCTAGAGTTTCGTTACATAATGGTGCGTAGGCGCTCATTGAATCTTCTGTCGTTGGCCATTTCAAAAAATTCACTTGCACTGGAGCTAGTGGATTAGCAGAAGTATCTCCAGTAAATCCAAACCAAGCCTCATCGTCGCAGACATCCGCGTTGCCACACATTAGATTGATAGCTGGCACACCAGTCTGAGGGACAATAACTCCAGCACAAGATGCGTGAGCCCTTTCCATGAAGTCTTCGTGAACTCTATAGAATATTTCGTTAACAAATTTTTCTCCATTCGATCCAACTTCCTCGCGCACTTCTATAAAACGGGATTGATCGGGACTGCAATTCATTTCGCAGATTTGTCTAATGAAATTCCTCGCACAAACCGGGCATCGCCCTAAGACACCGTCAGATAACATCAGGCTCTCAGACATTTTACGAAGCTGTGCAGCATCGCAACAGGTTACGATTTCATCGTCATGCATATCAGTTCCGTTTGGATGGACCGTTAGAGAAGGACACCTGTTCCTGATGATTTGTATAATTTCGTCGAATTCTTCAGGATCCGTGTCACTTTTAAGTGTAGGCGCATCTTCATCTGTAGAGCATGGTTTTACAAAACCTCCAAGTTCATAACATTCTCCCCTGATTAAGCATTTTGAAGAAGTTCCCCAACACAAACACAATAAAATCAATATCACTGATAGTAACTTCATCTTTCACTATGACGCTTAACACTATTTATATTAACTACTACCTCCACATCATTTGACAGTGAGTTGCGGACACCGTCGGCACTAAGCACGAAATGGACGAGAATTCGGCTATGAACCAAGTTAATTACAATTATTTGATATCTTATCGAAACATTAACACGATAGCGTCAAGAGTAAATAAATCGAACTGTTTTTTTTATCTTAGTCGGACTCAGATACGTCGTCGATATAAAATAAAAGATATATATTATCCCGAACAGCTGAAGCCGCAGGTGTGCAGCCGTAGCAGTCCCTTTTAGTGTCCCGGGACTCCCGGGGGAGCAGTCCCCTCCCTGCAGTTGCTTTCCGACGCCTTTACGCGTTTGTATACATATTGTATTAGCCAATAATCTTCGAACCAGCCCAACATCTTGAATTATGTGTAGAAAATTCACATTGTACTAGATGTTTAATTAGATATTTGTTTCCTTAATTTTGTATGTAGTTTTACTGTACGTGAACTGCACAATTCTTCCCAATATCTTTATTAAAATTAACCAGAACAATCTCATAGTTTTGAGTGATTTGACTGCAGTATGATAAAATCACAAGATCGCAACAAGTGTTGGTTAGATAAGTTAAAATCTTTCTAATTTCAAATTGAATTCCAACCAAAACTAAATAAAAACCATTTTAAAATTAAATTGCGGCTATGCCACACCGTTACACTTTGTAACTATACTTTCCTACCAAACAGAAACACAACAGCAAGCAGTGCTATTTACAATGGGCTTCTAAAATGGTAAGGTAGAGTAACCTCTACCAGAGAAGTAACCTTCTCCATAAGAGAATTCTTAATTCGTCGGAAATCCGCTTTGCCCTACCTCTCACGTAGTCTCAAACGCTAAAAACACACGGCGCGATTTCCTCTCTCGCCCGCAGCGGCTGCAGGACAAAAACTCGCGTAGAATGTGAAATTCTAGGTAAAACGCAAAATCAAAGGACAATGGCCAAAAAACACCCAGCTCCGCCAACAATGTTGTTAGTATAATTTGAAAGTTCTATGATAAATTAGCCGTTTATATTACAACACCATAAAAAAATATGTATGTCCTGGTATTACAGATGGGCATATTTAAGTACCTAGCTAAATAAATTCATTCAAAAGTGCTTTCATCTACAAGAAGATTATTAGTAGTCATAATAATGTGAGTCATATCGGATTATACAACCATATATGCTACAAAGCCTGCAGACCATCCTACGCTTGTATTTGCAGAGACGCCTGAAAACGGTTTACGAGATAGGGGTACGGAGATTGAAGGACTTACTTCGTCGTGATTGTGATTAATTTATTATTATTGCTATGGGCGCATACCAACTGAAATTAGCTAAAAGCTATTACAGTGACCACGTTCGGGGTGACGGACACTTCAGCATATCCCTATTATTTACCGAGAATTGGAACTACTCTTTACCTAGCTTAGTAGCTTAACAATGTTGGAATTGATGGGTATGTGGCTTTGCCGAGCAAAAATACACTCACACAGTTTTGGTGGTCATATGGTTTTTAGATGTGGCAAGACATGATAAAAATATTCACAGACTGGATCACTTCATAAACACTGTGATTGTGGGAAAAGATTATTAAATATATTTTATAATAAAATAATTGTTTCGTAATTAATTCCCTTGTTTCATTAATGTTCGTCCGTGATAGTACTTATACCTATTTAATTTAAAGTAACTAAAGACTCCCTGCGCTTTGGCACAGATAATCATATGTAATAGCTTTTAAACAAATCTCTTATCTATTAGACAAGTCCGTCCGTCTGTTTGTGGTGCTGTTTCAGCGGCCAAACCGTAAGAGATAGATAAAGAGAATATTTAAGTCATAAGTTAAGAATAGTCTGATAAGACTACAAACCGGATTTGAGTAACGTAGCACTTCCGGTTTTCGAGAAATCACGTGATTTCTATTTTGTAATTATCACAATTTTAATTAACTATTTAAAGGTTAGATTTTTTTTTAACTAAATAATTTCAAACGAAACCACACAAAATCTCCGAAGTTCTCAATTAATTAAATAAATTTTTTAAATCAGGTTTTGGTGAACATTTGGTTCACTGGTTTGCTAGTATAGTATAAGCCGCAGCGGACGTGGGTGCAGCGTTCATAAATTTTTGCCCAATGTCCTTTCAAGGAGTTGCGCCCGGCTATTTGCGGCATCTGTTGCGGCGCTCGCGGGACACGATTTCCCGCAGACGCAACGGGTTTCAGCCGATCCGGGGAAAACTGCGGTCTCGTGATTTTGTAATAAAACAACTCTGACGCTTTCCGCAGCGGGAACGGGAAAAAGCCTCTCCGTGAGTTCTTAGTAGTTGGCTTATTTTAAAAATATTAGAATGAGAGCGTTATCGTTCAAACGGATAAATACTTCGGTATCAAAGTCCCAACCCAAGGTAAAATCAACAAAATCTAATAAAGATAAGCCTAAAAACAAGGTGAGTAATAAATAATGTGACTCAGGGCATCTAGATTCGGTCTTCGTCAAATTTTTGATCTGCCATGCTAGCCACAGTTTCATGTGGTAAGTTTGTATTTGGTTATTTTTGTATTTGACAACAGATTTTTTTTTTAATACACACACCAATAAGCCTAGCCCCAAAGTAAGCACTGTAAGGCTTGTGTTATGGGATGTTAGGGTAATTGATAGAATACATATACAGTACATATACAAGTATATTTATATAGAAATACATATTAAACATCCATGACTGGAGTACAAATGCTCGTATTCGTCACACAAACATTTGGCCCCACCGGGATTCGAACCCGGGACCTCTCGAGTCGGCGACACCATGAAACCCGGCGTACAAACCACTCGACCATAGAGGTCGTCAAATAGGTACTTGCCATGCTGAAATGAAAAATAGAGAACGCATTCAATTTAATTTTTTGGTGATTATGGCTGCGTCTCATTAAGTGACGATTCTGTCAATGTCTGGGAGAGAACGCATGGATTCTCTCCATCACACATCTTTTGATTTGACATTGACAGACAGTAAAAGCAAGTACCTACAAACATACCAACTTATCATGAGCCATTTTTTTTTGTTTTATTATTATTACTCAGCAGAAAGTATATAATGTATGCTTTCCAATTACAGAGCATAATGCGACTCAATGCCGCACAATGCCCAATTATGCTGATGCTTAATTGGAACGTGAATTAGTTTTCAAATGCACCAGCAGAGTGCGGTAAGTTCAGTGTTGAAAAAAAAGTCAATGTTTGTACCTTCATCCATACTTATATTTATTTTTTAACAGTTTGAATGAACTTTGATTATTTAAAAAAAACTATTTAATGAATCGAAAGCTTTAATAATTTTTCAACAATAAATAATATTACTAACGATAACATATAAATAAAACATTTCGATCAATGCCAACTTAAAGAAAAAACACTTGTTAATTTTCTTTTTCTAAGTTGGTACCATTGCACGCATCACACGAAAGCTTCACTTTTGAGAGTGCTCAATTGTGCGAAGCGTTGCTGTAGTTGGACCACTCAACGTTAAGCATTATGCCGCATAATGCGCAATAATGCTGTAATTGGAAAGCAACCATTAGCTACATGACATTTAATTTGAAATTATATTCATTTATATTATTTCTATAGTATACACATTCTACAACAAGCAGACAGACAGCGGAATCACGATGCGGAGAGTTCCGTCATCAGTGAGAAAATTAATAGATGGAACTTACTTCTCTAATGTTATATTTTTTTAATTAAACGGATTAGATGGTTAGGTAGAGCAGATCAGCAAATCTGGCATGATAAACGCAAAAATATATTATGATGTCACTGACAAATTAAATTAACAAACTAATACAGCATCTCTTATCTATTAGACAAGTCCGTCCGTCTGTGGTGCTGTTTCAGCGGCCAAACCGTAAGAGATAGATAAAGAGAATGTTTAAGTTATAAGTTGAGAATAGTCTGATAAGACTACAAACCGGATTTGAGTAACGTAGCACTTCCGGTTTTCGAGAAATCACGAATTTCAAACGAAACCACACAAAATCTCCGAAGTTCTCAATTAATTAAATACATTTTTTTTGAAGTTATACTTCTTTAGGCGCGTTATGAAAAAATGATGAGAGTGAAATCTTAAAAACAACAAAAATTAACAGCCGGTCGCTTTAGCGACCAACTTCATGCTGTTACTTTTGTGTTTACCGCACATTAAGAAAATCTACCAACAAAATAGAAATAGAATCTCTATTTAGTGGGTGCTAACGACTGCATTGTGAAGGCCTATCAAAAGTATTTATTAATCTGGAACAACGGAACCAAAGCGCGATTCAGGAGACTACAGCGCCATCTCTTGACCATTGGTGTAGTAGAACCAAAAACCACATCTTTACTTTTTGTAATAAAGTAACAGTTATAGGTATTCATATTTATAATATCAAAAGTATTTATTAATCTGGAACAACGGAACCAAAGCGCGATTCAGGAGACTACAGCGCCATCTCTTGACCATTGGTGTAGTAGAACCAAAAATCACATCTTTATTTTTTGTAATAAAGTAACAGTTATAGGTATTCATATTTATAATATTTATCCACATGTTTCTAGTTTGTATATTCGGAATACGTGTTTGAGTTTCATACAAGTGCAAATCACATATGTTCTAATAAATTATATTCAGTAGCGATTTTAATTGAATATTTTGATTATTTATTTATTTTTTCAAATTAAAACTGAACTTTATTGACTGTGTCCTTTTCCAGACTTTTTATTAATTTATTGTAATTAATTATTTGCATGCAATTAAAAACTAATTTTAAACGATGCCAAAGAAGGATAACTTCTCACGCGACTACATAAGTACACGCACCCTTTTTTTAAATCAGGTTTTGGTGAACATTTGGTTCACTGGTTTGCTAGTTACATGTAATTTGTAAAGGTTACCTGGCCTACATTTTAGCAATTACAATTTATATTAAA